CCCAGAATCCCGAAGCCCTAAACCCTAAACCCTAACCCCTAAACCCAGAATCCCTAAACCCTAAACCCAGAATCCTAAACCCTAAACCCTAAACCCTAAATTCCTAAACACCCTAAACCCAGAATCCCTAAACCCTAAACCCTAACCCTAAACCCTAAACCCAGAATCCCTAAACCCTGAAAAAACCCTCAACCCTCATCCCCACAGGCTGAAACGCTCTGCAGGCACAACCTATCATCCTCGAGATGGGAGCTTTGAACCCTAGACGCTTGATAAGGTTTAGGGTTGAGGGTTGAGGGTTTAGGATTCAGGGAAGGGTTTAGGGTTGAGGGTTTAGGACTGAGGGTTCAGGGTGGAGGGTTTAGGGTTGGGGGCTTAGAGTTGAGGGTTTGGGAACACAAAGCCCCAGACCCTAAACCCCAAAACGCTAGACCCTATGTACATGGTTGCGCGCTGTTGCGTCCTCCCCCCACTCTCCCCGTCCCTGTCTCCCCCCCTGCCCTTGTGGTGTGGGGTGGTCGGGCTTGGGTCTTGGGGCGAAAATACGGATGCAAGAAGTCATAGAAACGCCATGATATGAATACTTCAACGGCGAATTATGGAGTCTGTGGTTCTAGCGATTCTGAGTTTGTGTGGAGATTTGCAGACATAAGGAGCGAGATAGAACCAACCTCCACTATCTCCCTATATCTCCCTTTATGTTCCTATATCTCCCTCATACCCCTACACATCTTTGTATAGCCCCTATGACCCCTCTAAAGAGATCGTAAACCAAATGGCGAGCCTGAAACTGCGCCCTCATTTCATCCAAAGCCGCCTCAGGACTCAAAATTTGCTTAAGTGAGGCTTGGGGTTTTAAGGATTGAGGGCTAGGGTTTAGGAGTTTAGGGATTAGGATTGTCGGGATTTGGGGTGCAATCCTACGGGGCAATGCTTTTAAAAAGGCCGTTGCACATTCATCCTTTCTTATTACGGGGTTCTACCTAAACCCTACACCCTAAACCACATTCTAGTGTGCTTGGCTGGGCGTGGTAGGTCCTCAACATAAGGGCATGTGAGCTATAGTCTAAGCTTCTAGTATCCCCCTTCTTAGGTTTTAGGTTGTAGGGGTTAGGGTAGACTATAGTTCACGTGGAAGCCTGGAAACATACAAGGATTGTAAGAAAGGGGTTGTACGGGCCCTGTCTGGGAGATTCCCACGCCTGAACTGCTCCTTCCCCTGAAAACCTCAATCTCCCACAAGACCCAAAGACTGAAACCCAAATCCTGAATTTAAGGTAGCCTTGTGCAGTCCATACACTTCTCTAGCGCCCCTGCAATCTCTACATAATCTGGGCTGCTGCTAAGCATGTTGAAAAAATGCGGCAATAAAGAAACCCCATTATTTACTATACCGATATTATGGTAACTTAGCTTAAGTTCCTTAACCGCAACCCAGCGATTCTGGACGTGATTGCAGCGCCTTGGAATCTTCTGCCGCCGCATCGTGCCGTGCCTCCGCACACGAGCAACATTCCCCAGACTGGGTTACTGTAAGGGATCTTTTTGTAGTTGCCATAATACGGTCATATGGTAAGTTACCATAATATGAGTGAGTATATGGTAAGTAATCGACGTTCCTTATTGAAGTAACTTAATTTTTAAGTTCCTTAACAGCAACCCAGTAGAGTGATGTACAGGCCTTATTAACTTGAACCGCGTTCAATACAGAACCTAGGGTTTAGTGTTTATTCTGGAGCCTAAATTATGCGAGCAATGGAGAATCATCTGGAAGATGAAAAGGAAACTGCAAATTTTACAGATGCTCTAATTCCAATACGGAGTTTATGGGTAGGGCCCTAGATACTTGGAACACGCTTTTCTAAGTATGTAGTATCATACCTGCGCGAGGATTATGAAGGGGCCTAATGACTGGCTTTTAGGGATTGGATTTAGGGTTTGCGGCCAGGGTTGAGGGCGCATGATAGTTGAGAGGTGTAGGCGTTTCAAGAATGGGGTTAATGGGATTCAGAAATTAGGATTGGGCATTGAGAGCTTAAATTCAGTGTTTATAGTCAAACTTAAGGCAAAAGCAAACCAAGGTTTAGGCAATGCCGATTCGATGTCTTTTGGATTTAGGATTGAATGAAGCAAAATACTCCCAGGCTTTACTTACACCCCCAAGCAAAACGCTTCTAGTAACATAGAAAAGGCCCACAGTAAACCCTAAACTGTGCTACTATGCCCTGAGCCCCATACGTTCCAAAACTAAGAAACACCAAGCCCAATAAAGAAACCTACTACATAGACGATTCCCTATTTTGGAGACCCTAAACTCTTCTCTATAAGCCCAGCTTTCATTTCATTCTCCATCGTCTTTTCCGTTCGACTCTCCATGATAAGGGTAAGCCCGAAACCTTAAGCCCTAATCCGTAAACCCTCGATCCTACGTAAGCCCTAAACAGTAAACCCGAAAACCCTAAACCGTAATCCCTTAACCTGAACCCCTATACCCTAAACTTCCTAAACCCTCAATTCTTCAATCCCTCAAAGCCTAAACCCTCAAGCCCTAAACCCTAATCCCTAAACCCTAAAACCCTCAACCCTAAACCCCAATCCCTACACCCCAAACCCTAATCCCTTTTCCCTAAACCCTCAATATCTAAACCCTAAGTCCTTTGTTTTCAGGCCTTGCTCTGGGCTCCCACCCCCTCTGCACACTCGCGCGCGAAGGTCCGCACCTCTGCCAAGCCTTCAGATGCGCCGGGCTGGGGGCTTTCAAAAGGTCCCTTTGAAGGGGATGTAGGGATATATAAGGATCATAAGGATCATTTAGGGGTATAGAGGGAATGGAAACTACAATTTAGGGTTTGGGGTTTAGGCTTTAGGGGCTAAGGTTTGGGGTATAGAGCTGAAGAGTTCAGGGTCTTTCAATGAAGGCACAACAAATGCAGCCTCCATACACCCCCTGAAGAGCCCCTATCTTCTTAAGGAGGCAACGCAAACATGGCAAAACCCTAGACCCTCAACCCGAAACGCAAAACCCTGAACCCTCATCCCTAAACCCTAAACCCTCAAAACCCTAATCCCCAAACCCTGCACCCTTAAACCCCTAACCCTTCACTCTCAAACCCTAATCCCTTAACCCTACCCCCCAAACCAGGTTAGGATTTTGAACTAGGATAAACAGAATCGAGGAGCACTCTAAAAGGAGGTCTAAGAGGGTAAGTGCTCTTTGATTTCTTGGGTCTATATCCCTACTATGGCCATAAAACCCTAACCTGCCCCAAACCCTAAACCCTAAATCCTGAACCCCCCCCATAAAACCCCTATATAACCCAATATAGTAGTTTCCATTTTCTTTTCCATTATCCCAATATAACCCCAATATGAACCCCTATAATCCCTATATAACCCAATATATACCTTATTATATATTAGTAGTTTCCATTTTCTTTTCCATTATCCCAATATAACTAATATAACCCCCCTAAAACCCTGAAGGCAGAGCGAGGCCTTGAGCTGCCTCCGCAGCACCGGCCCCAAGCCGGTCGACGCGGGCGGTCAGGCGCTGCACAGCATCCTCCTGCCTGGCAAGCTCCAAAAAAACTGGGTTTAGGGTTTAGGCTGTGAAGTCTAAGTCAGGGCAGAGGTCTTAGGTGTTGAGGGTTAAAGGTTTGGGGCTCAGGGTTTAGGGTTTAGAGTTTAGGGTGTTGGGGTTCAGCGAACTATGGGCTCCCAGTACGCGCCCTTCTCTCCCAGACACCTTATACACCTATCACACATCCTATAAACCCAACTGAAAGCCCGCACCAGGGAAACAGGGCTCATGGTTAGGACCTTTAGATTATACTATTGGGAATGCCGTCACGCAGCTGTCAAGGCACCAAGATTTACTGCGTTGCGTGCTGTTGAGGAACTTACAAATGGATTTCCCAGAGGGGGAGGGGGAGCTAGGAACCATACAGGGAGTATAGGGGGATAGCGCGGGTCCTTCTGGTGGATGGTATAGGGTTGATTTCGAGAAGCTCCCAGATTCAGCTACCATAGATGACAAAAAAAGCTTTATTACACGATATCAACAATCCAGTTTGACGCAAGTCCTGTGCATATCGCAGATCTGGGGTTCAGAAACATCACAGGACTCTTAAAGGAGGGCTACTGCAGGTCGTGAAAGCCTGACTCTCCTGAACACCAATGCTCAGGGACACTCGTTTAACAGGGGTTTAAGGTTGAGGGTTTAGGATTTGGGGTTTAGGCTCTAGGGGTTTAGGGCTTAGGGGACTTAAGACAACAGAGGACCTCCAACGAAGCGTTTAGAGCTATTCAAAGTCAAGATAGGTATGGTAGGCGGCCAACACAAATTCATGGCACATCATGTGATGGGATCTTATCTTATACAAACGCCCTAACCGTCTCATCAATCAGTCAAAGACACTGTGAGGGTCTGTATGAAGAGTGTTCACACGTGCTATGCACAGCGCTTCAAAATCAGGTCCTCCATTTGGGGACCAAGACCACAGACACCGGTCCTCAGTGAGGAACCCATGCTAATCGGGCACCCGCACGAAGCCACCTTATCCCCCTGGCATCATTACATCATATGTCAAGACTCCCCTGGTAGTCATGCGAGATCCGTACCTATAGATTTGCAAAGATCCTAGAAAAACTAGGAAGACATGGAAACCCCACTTTTTGCAAAATGCTGCCTGACCCTACACATACCATACAACAGCAACTCCTGCGTTCTATGCATATGGGGTCATGCAAGGTTTCGTCCATCAGCAGTGTGACCCTGAGCCCTTTAAGCCTCAACAGCCCACAACTCCCACCCATCGCCTGCGGTCGAAGGCACGGGCCTCTTCGATGTCTGCCAGAAGCCCTCGGACAGAGTTGAGAAAGAATGTAAGTAGGCATGTTAGGAGAGAAAGAATGTAAGTAGGCATGTTAGGAAACACTAGTGTCATCCATACTAGCAGATACAATCAGGGGCTTTTCTATTCTTGCCTGGTTATAACTTGGGCTCTTCCTCACCTAGCAGAAGTTATCCGATCGCAAGTACTGAGCTTAATGGCTTGATGATCAGAGACATCCAAGCGCTCGGTTTGCCCACAACAAAAATGCTCGGAGTAGGCAGGGTTTCCAGGTCACACAATGTCGGTAGACCGTTGATTCTCATATTAAATACATCCACATCCCCTAACATTCAATAGGTCGCCGAATATGTAGGGTCTCTTGTGGGGGATATTTAATATTAAGGGATGGGTGTGTGTGATATTAGTTTGAAGGGAATATCAAGATACGAAGGTCTTGCGTTTTCAACCGCTGTGCTGCGGCCCAGCATACATGATGTGTGATGGACAGCATTTAAAATTTCCACCAAAGCAAATTTTGTGTGGAGATTGCCATGAGGTCGTGGACCACGCTGGCACGGAAACTCCATTCATATGAACCCTAGAATTTTGGGTTCTGTGAGGTCCAGGCAAAGATCTCCAACAGATTCGGTAACGTGCGCCTCGTCGCGCCTCTGCCAGGTCTTCGCAGCTTCGAGCGACCTCGCAGGAATGGCAGGGGAGTTTACGTTGTGGGGCTTAGGGTTTACGGTTTAGGGTTCAGGGTTAGGTTGCTCAGTTTATCGTTCCGGATGTAGGAGCGTCAGGGCTTGCCGCTTGCCTCCTGTGTGTAGGGCATCTAGAATATGGTACTGTTGCTGGAAGTGTAAGAAATATGAATAGAACCCATTCCTTGAGTTCATGCTGTTGAGAGGCAAGGCCTTAGTCCCAATCCACAAAATTCCCTGGCAAGCTGCAGCCAAAGAAGCTGTTGATCAAGCGGAGTGTAGGAAATAGGACTCTTGAACCAGACTTGCTCAGGCCTGCCAAATGCTTCCATGTGGAAGATTCCCAGAGGGAGCCTTCTCCCAAAGGGGACCCCGTAATGTATCAAAAACAGTTTGGTTTTCAGCTGGCTAGCATGGACGTCCCGTATCGAGATTAACCTTCGAACTCAGCAGGTTTGTGCAGGACTCTTGTGTGGTTTTCACGAGTCCTGGCAGGTTGGTGCGAAAAAAGACGAATACTACTGAGACCTTAAGAAAATCACAGAACCCAAACCCTAGAAAAAAGGAAACGAGCTGGGTTCAGTTGGACAAACGGTGAAAGAATGGCCTCAAAAAACAAACCAAAAGGTCAACAACACCATTAAAATGCTTCTGGGCCCAGGTAAAAAGAGGGTGCCTGACGCAGCAGTTCTTGAGTCAAAGGCATGATAAAGAGTTGCATAACCGTTATCGTCTGAAAAACTACTAGACTTCTAAGCATGTGATGGCGCTTCGCACGCCCGCTGCGCTTCTGCGGGTTGTTTCCTCGCCAGCTGTGCCTGATGCCTGCTGGCTTGGTTTAGTTTTGTTCAAGGATGCTTCGAGAAGATTTTGTTTTCGTTCCTGCTTAACAGCAGCTGACGAACTTCCATCCGCTGCAACACATCCAGAACAGGCAAAGTCACATTTTGTAGTCTGAGCCAGGGCGTCAGGCTAGCAAGTGCCTAATGCTCAGCCGCACAGCTTACATAGTCCCCATCTTCGTGCGAGAGCACAGCCAACTGTTTAGAGCCAGGGCCAAACACATGCAACGGCGCTGTTGCCCAGATGACCATCAACGCAAGGGTGACCAGCGCTAGAATGACGATACGGACAACATTCCCACCAGCAGCATGAAGCCGGAAAAGCATCCTAAGGCTTAGGGCCAGCAATAAGCAGAGAATGAGGAGCCCTCCAAGTCCAGACTGTGCAGGTGCTAGCTCCAGGATCAGGAATCTCCAAAGGTCCAGGATCATACCAAAGGCAATGTCTGCCAAAACTAAGCCGAACACAAATACTTTTGCAATACCGGAAACTAACTGCAGCGGCACACAAAGCGCGAGAGCAGCAATGCTATTTGGTGTGCGCTGGTCCAGTGAGGTGACAACACGTCGATCAGGTAGCTCAAGCTGCACAAACGACTCAGAGACACCTGGCATCAAGTTGATTCCAAATGCCGATGCTTCTTCCGGCAGCGATGGCACTAGTACACTCACTAATGGCATCAGCTGAGATTTGATTGACCGCTGCTTTGATGACATCATTAGGTAGACTGATCTGGTGAAGTTCACCCCGAGATAGGTGTACCTTCCAAGATGTTCTTCAAGCATCGGGTCCAAAGACCTGGGCACCATAAGCACAGTTTGCCCGAACATCGCAAGTGTTCTGACCACCGTCAGGGTCGCCGCGATCGTCAGTATGATGAGGGAAGGTCTAGGTGCGCGAGGGCCCCAGTACCACACAAGGAGTAATGAAAGCGCATTGAAAAGCTGGACCCTGATCGCCTCACCATGCCGCGCATGCAAGAAGATCAATATTGCCAGCACGCCAACGAAAATGCCCCAACGAAGAGCCCATGTCTTGGCGGAGGATGCAGCGCTGCTGCTCCAGAGCTCGGGATTTCTCATTACGTAGTCATGCCAAAGCCCGGGGTGCTGACCGCCATGCTTTCTTTCCAAAATTTTACCCAGCGCTTCCTTCAAGAACTTTGAGCTTTGGAATGCTTCGATCAAAGCCTGCGTGTACTCCGTGCAAATCATCGAATGCCGTATTGGGGTGTCTCTCATCGACCGGCCCAGCTTGCACGGGAATGCGCAACAGTACCCCACATTGAGCTTGTGGCCATGTTCGAAAGCATCTGGGAACAACTCTACTGGTTTTCCAGAGACAGGGCT